TAAAATGCCTAGCGAGTTGATGCAATGTTTGCACATTAGAGATGTACTGCTAACAAGGCAACATCACCTATCCATAGAATAAGACAGAAATTGTGACAGGCCGAGAAAAGTCAACGCTGCTTGGTCTGAACTTTGTGATTCTCATGCTCCGCTTCCGCGCGGATTTTAAGTTTGTAAAGGGCATCCTGTACGGCTGCCGTCAGACCTGCATGGAGTTGCTGTCTGGCATCGATTCGTCCAGCGAGGGATCTGCACAACCTATTTTTCAACGTGTTCAGCTGAAATGGCTGTCCAACGGTGACGGTCAAACATTGTGGGGTTCCCAGGATCCGGGAGAGCGTGTGCACAAAGTATGGAGGGGTTGTTGGATTGAGGCTGTCAAAGTTGCAGTGCCAGATCGGTAAGATGATAGGGTCCTGCATCCAGCGCGGAGAAATACATATGTCAAATCCAGTTTGGACAACGTTTTGCCATAAAATGAGCACGAGTAATCGCATGTTAACATTACTCAAGTCCAGTCGTCAGTAATCACCCTGATAAAAGTCTCGTTCTTAGGCACAAAGCATTGGTGTACTTGGAGACACACTCGTAGTACATAATTACGCATTTAATTACCAAGGTTCAAGCGCCTTGTGCAAGGCTGATTTATTCCGCGTGACAAAGCTGTCTTCTATCATATTTCAGCTTGAAGCATTTTACTAATTCTTCCTCGAGTTTGATTAATTGCCTGAAGCGCACGCTGACCTGTCCTCATTGGAAGACGCAAATGGGCACTTCTGCTTTGCTCTAAAGCTGGTGCACACTGCTTCTGTGTGACTACATATTCTCCAACTCAGTCGACATGGTACGAGCTCGTAGAGCAGTAACGAGAACATCGCTCGATGAACAGATAGCTCAGTTTAAGACTTAAGACACGCAGTCTGGGTTGCGATATCATTGACCAACGAGTAATAGGCTAGAAATGGGAAAAAGGCTTGTTCCCTATAGATGCTACCATTTTAATAAATGGCAAATGAAAAAAAGCAATTCACAAAGATCACCACACAGGGCAAACAACTTGCCACTTTTGAATCCGCAATAAGACGGCCAATACCCCAACGGAGACGAAATTCAGCTTCCTGTTCACGTTCGTTTGGCAACACAACGCGACCCTTAATAGGAGAGACTGGATCTAAAAACGGTGCGTTGATACTTCAAAGAACCTGAAACGTTGACGACTACCCAAATCCAAACAGACAGGCGGGCACGTCGATCCGCTAACATGAAATCGAACGGCCAGAACGCAGTATACAATTCAAAACTGAGAACTATCAAGCAAAAGAATGTTACCACGAAAGTATGCTTACCCTGCTGGCATAAGGTCTAGGATGGGTATTAGGCCTGATCTTCTAGTAGCAGATGTCTAGGCTAATAAACCAGGAATGCTTCTTAAACGTCATATTATAGTAGCGGGGCGTTAAATCCTCGTCTGACGAGCAAAACTATCTCTAGGCTACAACTCCCGCCGCCAGGGGTCATTTTGTTGAAATTTCTGACTTAGTTCCTGCCGGAAACTACTGTTAAACAGGCAGATTTATCTGATCTTTCTCAAAAGAACTTTGTTACAAATGTCGCATTCCACATTAAGCAATAAAACTGCGCAGCCTTTATATAGCTTGAAAAATGGGACGGTTTGATAGGTGTCGCCCCAGGGGCTAGCCCAGCTATTTTGCTAGGCTTGGGAGGACGGCAGAAGTGGAGTGATTCCGTATTTTAGGGACTTATTTAGGAAACAAGTGTGCGTACTACGAGTTTCGACGCACCCACTAGTTAGCTGACTTAATGTGTTTTGTGAGAATACATTTGGTTTTCAGGTAAAAAAACGGGTGGTGTTAGCATTGATTTTACGCACTTGGGGGAACATGTGTAACCAACGCCCAGAGTTCAGAAGATCGAGACTGAAATCTATGCTTGGTTGATCCACACCGAGGCCTGTATGTAAAATATTGCCGGTCCTGAGGTCGCGTGTGCGCCTCCACACGGGTACGCCCTTCCCGGACGCAAAGAACGTTGAGTATAAAAAGTTAATAAAGCATATGTCCACTGCAGCGAGCGTCCATCTTATTTTATCTACTGAAGATCTTTAAATAAAAAATGATAAACGTGTACCGTCAAGGATGAGGCTCATTGGTAAACAACCAGCAGTAAGAAGAAAATCGTCCAGACAGCAATGATGGTTGGACACGGTTATAAGAGGCTGAAAAGCCGGTCTATCACGCACAAGATCTAGCAGTGTGTTTTGATTAATTATTTTGAAGTGGTGTCGAAGCAGTGCGGATTTAACCCAAATCGCGTTAAGACAAAGCGATGTCAGGTGGAAAACGCTTTGAAGCAAGGTTCTATCATGCGCATTACGGTATATTCGAAAAGCAAGATCAATTGGGATAGATGGCAGCGCCTGCATTATAAAAAAGGCCAAGGAAACGGTCGGAATAAATTTCGCATGGGAGTATTTTAAGCCAAGCCGGGACTGTGTGCGACCGGCTGATATTTCTTAAACTGCCGGATATTTTGGCAGACAAGGTAATTTAGTGCGGTTCTTGGGCAATTCAAACGTGTTGCAATGCCATCCGATGTTTGTTATGTTGGGGTTCCACGGGATGCCGTATAGATAAAATTTCCAGTCGTTCAATAACCTAGGGATGCAGATAGGGCATGATTAAGATAAGTGAATTTTGAGGCAAATAACTGCTATTGCAGGGTTATTTGTTTATGTCAGTCTGAAATGTGTGTGTTGTGGTCTCAAGAAAAAACGAAGTTAATAACAACCTGAGTGTACTTAAATTCGGGTAAGAAGACTTCATACTAACAGCACGAGTACTTACAGCACAGGTATTTACATTAATAGTCCCACTAGATACGACCTATTTTGTAATGTGTCCCCTAGGAAGGATGACGTAATCGCAGCAAGGTCTTCCGAAATGGAACATAATCATGACTCCATGCTATCGAAAATGACAAAACGGCCGAAACTTTCAAGAAACTTAGCCTACAAGGCTTCCCTATATTAAGTCCGCCGTCTCGAGGGCGTTGCTGCATGACATATGGCTAACAAGTATGCTTCGGTACAAGCGCAGACGAAAGTTTTGCGAACACGGCTCAAAAGAATAATGGAGGAGGGAATAGTTGATAAGAGCGAAGATCTGCCAGCAAAGATGTGCAATCACGAAAATGTCGTCTAGCCCCCCAATAATTGGCAGCTACCCGACAATGTGAGTGATCAAAATAACTGTCCACAGACAAGCTGTTCGACCAAATTACTGTGTACGCGTCGGTGCATATTGTGCAACTGTCAAGCGAAAGACAACAGTATAGCTGTGACTTTACAACAAGAAGCTCTTCTTCGGTACTTTTTGATTGTTGTGTGCAATTTGTTGGTCGCAAAGCCTCGATTTTCTTCTTCCGCAGGAATAGCATGGCAACGTGTCGACGTTAAAAGAGCAAGTACCACAGGGAATGTTTGGCTGGGGAAGAAAGGCGTAAAACAGTCGCCAAAAGGATAACTACGAAGTTTGCAAAACATTCAAACTAAGCCACTTAAGACAACACGAAAATGATAAACGTAGGAAAAAACAAATGCCACCCAACTCGCTTAAGAGAATCACTGACCTAGAACCTAGAAACAGGCGCACTAACAACAACCAGTTAAAACACGGCAAATGTTGCAAAATGCACAAAAATGTATAGAGGCAGGTAAGCTTCGGCCGCAGTCGTTCACAATAACTATAAAATGCAAAAAATGTGAATTTTTACGAAAAATGCGAGTCCGTATTCATAACGCTGAGGTCCGAGGAGGAAAACGCAAGTATATTCCGGAGGATGAATATTCGCCTATGTGTCGGTAGGATGTGCCGGTTATAAGACTAAATGTGGCGGCCCAGGACGTTGAGGTTGGCACACACACAAATAAGCATTCGCACGCGGCCGTTCCCCAGTCCGTCTATAATGTCCTGGGAACTTGGTGAAGGAACAGGGCGGGGATCGATAGGGTATAACTTCCGCTTCTTGGTCAGAGACTCAGACTTCTGAGTGTTGGTACCTAAGGTATCCATTATACCGGCATTTGTTTGCAGACGCACAAGAAAGTAATGAGTATTAGACTATGGTTAGAAGATGTAAAAAGTTTATTGGCCGAGAGAGATAATGTATAACAGGGAATTCACGCAGAAACCCGGTCGGCAAAAACGAACATTAACGAACGATAGAAAAGTAATCGTGAACGAAAACATTAGAAGCTCGATATGTACAAGGAAACACGCAAAACGCATTTCAAAAATCTGGGAGAAGACGAAACTGTATACGACATAAGAACCGACGCACAACAAAAACAGATAAGCAACAAAAGTCCCCGATTGGACTTATAGGATCGATGGTCACCGGTGATTGACACGAGTGAGTGGTCCTCACGATCGATCTACAAAAGAGTGAGTGCCATTAAAACAAAGGGGTTTCTGTCCGTCAGATCTGCTGGGGTGTTACACGTCAAAATACTAGACAGAATTTTAGGCTCCGCGCCAAACGCACATGTGAAGAATTATGAAAAAGAGCAGTTGGAATGTATGAAAACTATACTGTGCCGATAGCCGTGTAAATGTCCAAAAAAGTACGCAAGATGATGGAATGTTAATTGTGCAACAGTCCCGTCTGGAGCGGAAGCGTTCTGTAGGTTCTGTCAGATAGCCGGCGGGAAATCCAGCGCTGGAGATAACTGAAGGATAGGGACATGAGGATGCTGACTTTGAAGTGAAAGACATCAAGACGATCTTTTACAACGATAACTCTGGGGGAAGGTCAGAAATTGCGAATGAAAAGGGCGCCGGCATTTTCACTGACACTCTATCACACCACCCCTGTCCTGGGCCCGCCCCTAAGAATGGTATAGTAGTAATTTTAGCGCAGTAGACACTGCCCTTGTTGACTCTTTTGAAGGCGGTACATACTAAAGTTCCGATAAACGTGCCACTATAATGTTGTCAGTAGAGTGTGCATTTACAAAATAATGTGCGCAACGTGAAGCTACAACATTAACACCCGCAGTTTTTGAAGGTCACGGGCCGAGCCCACACACAACACACAAAATATCGTCAGTTGTGCAGCATGCTGGAACAATTTGCATCAAATGTGCGGGAGTGCGTTAAATAGAGGATGCAATCAGAAAAAAATCATAGCTGACCGTAGACAGTCCTGCAGTGGGCGTCGTCGTTTATCAAAAATCAAACGATCTAACTGCCACTTGAATATAACCATTGTGTCAAATGCCACCACTCCACTTGTGAGTGAGTTCTACGGTCGCCCTACGTGGTGACAAGATGACAACTTACCTTGATCTAGGCGCGTACTATTGCGTTTGACCTTGGAGGGATGACGCTATCGCTGTAGGCTAGGCCGAGTGTCAGACTCTGGATACCACGACTTTCAGGCTCGGTCCCGAATAGAACAGAATAGAATAGGTTTATTACAGCACCCCTTGGGCACTCTGAGTCTCAGTTCAGTTCAGTTTATTGAGGGAAATAGGCCTAAGCCTTTGAGTACCCTATTTGCAACGTAAAACATGTGTGGTATACAGTTGAATGTTTTGGGCTGAAATAGTTCAAACACGCCCATAATGGTAGGACAAAAAGAGAAGGAGTTATAGGGTTTGAGCTCTACTTCTCATCGCTCCTGTTCATTTCGGAACAAAAATATGTCAAGATTCTTATTAAATAAATAAATAAATAAATAAATTTTTATTTAATGCAAGTTTACAGGCATTGTCAAAGGAAGCGATTAAGCACAAATCCGACCAGCAGTGAAAAATACTCCTGAGCTTAAGGCATAAAATTATAGTTGATGGTGGTTTTTGTGGTTTGGAGGGCTCAGGAGAAAAAACTGCCGGCGGTGGGAGAATATCGACCGTCAAGAAGGGGGGAGGTTGCACGGTATCGGAGATTATCGGACGTCAAATTCCTTTCATGCAGTTGGGAATAGTCAGAGTAGAGGCGTTGAGGAACAGCTGGTGAGACCGGCCATAGTGTTCAGAGACCACAAACGCCATCGCTACGGTACAGTCGATCAGTAGATTCAGCACCCAAAATTTGTGGGAGCTTTTCTGAATGCAAAAATCGAGTAATAGTTCTCTTAAATAAAGGAAAATTTTGCAGAGTTTTCACACTCATGGGTAGTTTATTCCAAATAGCAATTGCATTTACAGAAAAGAACCGACGATATTTAACAGTACGTGCCAGAGGCAGAAATAAGAAGACCTCACGGTGACTGTTACGTCGTGGGTGGATATGATGTCTTAAAGAGGTGAGTGGGTTAAATGTGTGATTATATAAGAGTTTAAATAGCAAAAATAGTCCCTTTTGTAATCTACGGAACCATAAAGGATCGAAGCCTGTAAGCCGGCAACGTTCTTGGTAAGACAAATGTCGGTGTTCCGGGGTTAAAATTCTCTTGGTAAAAAAGTGTTGAACGGATTCTATTTTCTTCCGCTCAGTAGCACGCATGAGCCTAAATGAAAACTTTGTATAGATGGTGACATCACAACATCTGCGGGGAGGGCATTCTATGGTTCGACCACTCGAACAGAGAAGGAGAACTTCCGCACATCCAGCCTTGCCTGCCGAGTGCGCGGTTTTAACGGGTGACCTCGGAGGTTGGTCGTGGTAGCAAATTCAAAAAAGTCCTCGAATGCCAGACTGTAATCCAACCCCTTTACAATGCGGAAGGCTTGCTAGAGATCCCCACGAAGTTGCCTGTAACTCAGAGGGCAGAGGTTTAGATTTACTAGGCGGGTTGCATAAGGAAATGAGCTTTGACCCCTAACCATCTTCGTGGCTCTCCTCTGGACTCTTTCGAGGCAGTTTTGATCCACAACAGCCCACGGCCTCCAAGCTTGTATGCCGTACTCTAAATGCGGCCGGACAAATGTTCCGAATGTCTTAAAGAAAGCTTGTTCGTCAAAGTCCATAAACGCACGCTTGATGGCGTACAGTACGGACTTTGCGCTTTTTGCCACCCTCGAACAACGGGCGGGTGGTTCTAGTGAACTCGTCGTCAGCAAACCGAGGTCCTTTTGGGCTTTGACCTCTTGTAGGGCTGCACCGAACAGAAAGTAGTCTCTTGTGCTGGCGGATCTGGCTGTGT